AAACGTATTAACATATCATTATTTTTAAACCATTGAAATACAAACCCTTAAATATCTCAATATATAACGGAATAAAGTTGCAATATTTTCAACAAAGAGAACAGCTCGTATCGTCGACTTATTAAAAAAATTCAGTTAGTACATTTTTGATAAAGCTGAACTTTTAATGTTTTACGGAATTTCGACCTTATCTATCGATAGTAATCGAAAAAAAAAAACAGAGGACAACCGATGGCCCAAACGTATACTTAATCAGGTAATTTTTTCTTAAAATCAGGTCAATTACTGCTTAATCTGCTGCTTTTTCTGCTTACTAGAGATCGGGGTAGCTCAGTGGGTGAGCACTGATTTCCAGAGCTCAAGGTCCCGGATTCGAATCCGGCTGATGGCTAGTAATTTTTCATTCAATTTTCAATTCAAGTAATTTTTCAGCAGTGGTCCCGTATACTCTTCTGGAGGAAACTCAGCCTCTATAAAGTGGGTACTCTTAATTAGATAATTAATTAAGGGTGAAACCTGTTGGTTGAGCGTGATATCGGCCCAATATTCTCCCTATACAACCGTTTGCCTTGTAACAGTACTTATTTTCATTTTACTGAACCCAAGTCCTCCCTTCATGGGTTGTTAGTGGTATAGGTATTTTGTTTTTTAATGAAATTAAAATTAATAAAAATATATTCACATCTATGTAAAATATTTACATTCGTCCAAGTTTGAAAGCCAAAACAGGATTCCAGGAAATTCCAGTGCTGCTCTCCCATTTATGTAACTTATATTGGAAGCCAGAGGAGACTGGTGGAGCGCATTAGAGCTACAGACAATCAGGACATAAGTGGAGAATCTTGCCATTGTCGGATATACAATATATACAAAAGGTCGTGGGGGCACTGCCGTTTTAACCTTTGGAGAGGTTTGTAGGGATGGCTGGAGCTGGATAGGGATTGTGCTACAGCATTTGAATGATGAATGAGGTTCTGGTGAAATTTGAAAAATTTGTCTGGGTTTAGGCCAAGAACAAATCGGATTTGAAGGTCATTCCACTTAATAAAGATGGATTTTTAGATAAACTAGACAATTCTCTATTGAAATTCATGAAAAATGGAAAACTTTAATTAAAATTCAACATAAAATAGAACATTAAAATAAACCAATGGAAGAGTAGAAACAGAGGGCACAAAGATATAAAGGATAAAATAGAAGTAGGTTACGTGTCGGAGCTCGTGTTGGTAATGAGCTCGGTTTGCTAATTTTGCCTTCCGTGATCTAGGTGCCTCTAGTGACAGGATAATCAACTAGAAATGCTTCGCTTTCTCTCTTACTCCTAGTGATTATTATCCAGTAAAAATATTATTCCAAAGGAGGATTATACTAAATACAGAAATTAATCATTATTTAAAATATTTATTAGTTTATTTAAACAAAAACCAAAAATATTATTAGTTTAAGGAACACATTTGGCCAGAAATCCTTTCTAAAACAAGCACTTGAAAAACGATAGGAGGTAACTCAAGAGGTCCATGCCTGATTCGTCGATTTCAAAGCAGCCTATAATTCTGTAGACATCCTTAACTTCAATTTACAATCCATATTTATTTACATTTCTATTTTGTTATTTTTCTCTTTATTTGACTTATTTACATATATACACAGTTGTTTTATTCTCTTGTACTTTTATTTTTAATTATCTTTTACTTTATAAATATTTAATTATATGTATGGCCACACTGTCATGTTTTATCTATATTGTATTTATACTTATTTTACATCATTCCCCTAATAATAAAATTATTTTTCATTTAATTTACAATTTATAAACTCATACCAAAATGTATTATGTAAAATTACAAAAATAATCCTATCAAATTTTGACTTCCTTCTTACTTGGCCATAACTTTTTATTTTTGTACATTTGAACCAGGATTTTTAATTTCAATCAGTTAAAAAATAAAATATTCTAGCCTGAATAATCATAAGGTTTGAGAATTGTAGTAGATAGCCCACTGTATTTAATACTTTATGACATTGTGTGAGGGAATGAGAAGGAATATATAGGGATGTGAGGTTGCACGATGAATTGTACTCAATTGTGCACTGGACAAATTATTCATTGAAAAGTCTAATATCGATAAACAATCGATGAAGAAGGAAGAAGGTTGGTGGTACCGAAAGGACCGAGCAGGTAGCAACAGCTGGAGAAGGAGGCTGGAGAGAAGAGAACTCACTCTAGGCCGGGACAGGAAGAAATGAGGTTACCTGAGAAGAGAAGCATACTACATTGAAGATTAAGAATATCAAGCCTACAGTTATAAGACTTCGATATATTCACTTATTACAGTTGTAAAATAAATTGTTTTGTTAGGCAGGAGTGAATAGTCCTTTTATTTAGTTATCCTTTAGGTCTCATAATTGAAGAATAACAAACCATGTGAGTCAATTCATTCAAAGTGTATTTACTCAGTCCCACATTTCATATATATATATATATATATATATATATATATATATATATATATATATATAGAATAGAATAGAATAGAATAGCAATGATGAGTTAATACAAAGTAAAGTACAAATCTGGCCAAAAACTAACTTATAAAAATTTTAATATTATATACATTATTTAAAAAGTATGTAACCAGTGAAAAATAAAAAATAAAAAATATATACAAATGAACATAAAATCTTCTTAAAATTACTTAATTGTGATGAAAAAAAAAAAAAAAGAAGAGAAATTACATATTTATATATACATAACTACACAATTTATAAACAATAGGCTATCTAATAGAAAACTAACTTAATACAAAATGTAATAATATCTACAGTGGTTTATATAATAATATGCAGACACTAAGATAAAATAAAATCTTAGGATACTAGTGGTGTAATGGAAAAAAAAAAAAAGTAAAATAAATAAAAGGAACTATTTATACGTACATTCTCATATTGGCACACATAAAGACTAAAATATAAGCATATATACCCGAAAGAAAAAGCACAACCTAAGGAGAAGAGAAAAATACATAAATAGTAAAAATAATAGTCAAACTAGGTGACAAAAATCATTGCTGTTTTATGTTATTGCTGTTTACAGTAGGCACCACTATTTACTTCACGCAAATTCAGTTCATAAAATGAAATTTATGGTGGTAAATCTTCTATTTGGGATATAAGGAGATATTGGAAAAGGAGGTATTTGAAAGTTGACAGGGAAGAGGCACGACGGATGTTATGTGGCAAAGAATTCCAGTAGGAGACGGAACGGGCTAAGAAGGAACGTTCATAGGTTTTTGTCCTTTGGAATGGAATATAGAGGTCAGAAACATGGGATCTCGTTTTTATTGAGTGGACTAAGAGTTTAGGCTGGAGGAGACAACAGATATAGGAAGGGTGCTGGGAGTTGATCGTTTGGTATAAGAAATTTCCAAGGAAGTATAGGCGGCGGGAAGAGGGGAAGAGCCACCTTGACTCGGCATATAGGTGGGACACATGAGACCATCTCGAAGTGCCGAAGACGAATCTTAAAAAACAGTTCGTGATTCTCTTCAGTCTGTCCTCAAGCTCCAACGAGAGGCCACTATATATATTCTTATTGATTCTTCTCACTCAGTGTCACAAAAGTATTAGGTTCCCGAATTTCTAACAACAGTTAAACACCCTCAAAAAGTCTATATCCAGTGCCGGCGTTTTGTTTTAATAATCACGAGTGTAAATAACCTAGTCCCCCGAAATAGAAGGAATATTTACATTTGACTTTTAATAGGTTGTTTGCAGAATTTTCGTTATTGTTTTTTTGAATAAAAAGTCCTTATTTTAATTTAAATAAAAAATATGATAAAAAGAATCAATTTAAGAATCGTTTATAAGAATTAAATTTCCCCATCTCCACACCTAACTACTTCCATGCATGGACTTATCTCCAACTTTCAATATCAAACTCAAGCACAACAATTGCTAATGGTAGACTTTTGAACTTTTAAAGTTATATTTACGTTTGCTTGATTTAAAACATAGGCTTTGAAAGAAAAAAATAAATAAGTAGAACCTAAGTTATGAATTCTTGAGTAATTTGTCTAGAGATCCCGCTTAGGCAGTTACTTACTTCGGTTCTCATCCCAATCTACTCCACCTTGAGCAACATTTAGAAGTTGTACTATTCAACTGATCGAAAAAATTATCACAACTCAACAGGAAAAATCCGAAATACTGAACATCTGTAACGCGTTGTCGCTTAAAACACACTCATTTTTCAACTTTGTCCGATCTTTCCCTTGAAGGTGTCATTCGGTTTAACTTCTCGTATACAAATATAGTATAGATTTTTAGGATTAACCAAATGGATTTGCCAGAAATCGAAAAAAAAACTACCAAAAATTTCACCCCGCCCGCCACGATATTCACATCAAGTTCTAATTTTACACGAATGTAGGTGATTCAATGTCCAGTGTTGTTTTTGTTATTTCGCCAGCGATAAACTCAGCAGAGTTTAAAGAACTCTTTTTGAGTATTTCAATCGACTCCACAATCTCTTTGCTTAATCATAAATGAAAATTAAACACTTGGAAAATTTTAATGGATCGGTGGTGGTCGTTGTGTGGCACCGAAACAAATAGCCGAATAACAAAGTGTGATTACGTCTATTAGGAAACCTTAACTTCCATAAGTGCCACCATAAAAAAATTCAAAACAACCCTCCTCCTCCCACCCAATTTTATGAAATTAAATCTCCCCCCTAATACAAAATCCATCTCAAAAAAAAGTTTCTCAAATTTTAATTATACACCCGTGAACGACGGGTACGTCAACTAGTCAGATCTATAATAACGTATGATATCTACATACGCGTGTACGTCTGGCCTTGAGGAATTTAATTTTCAAGGAATTCAATGAATGGAGATTTGTACGCATTCTTTGACTTAAATGTTTAGAAGTTATATTCCTTTTTTTAAGTAGCGTAGTAGTGCGTAGAAATTCTTTTTGATACAGACATTGAGGATTACCTGGCATTCCGACGGCCATCTTGCCGTCTCCTGAGAACATTCTGGTTCCCTTGGTAAGGTGAAAAGGTCCCTGGGTTCTCTCAGCCGTGCTACCGTCTTCTGTGTCTTCGTGTCCGTGTTTATCTCGACCTGGTTGCTCTTCAGTGAGCTGGTCAAGAGTCCACCAAGGAAGGAACCTGAAATAAAAACGGAAAGCTTAACCAAATATGAAATACAAATAATAATTTCAATTTATATTTAAAAAAATTAGCAAGCGCAGAAGGGCAAGGGCCTGTAATAGGAAAATGGAAGATGCAGATAATTATTCTAAAATGTCTCCTATATACAGATAGTTCCAATAGCAAACTCGAAAGAAAAGTTTCAACAAGCACTGGTGGAATGAGAAGAGCAACTGCTAAGGAAAGTCTATCAAAAACTCGAAAAGCAAGGTATTAGTTATCTCACTAGATGAAGAAGAAAACGTCGAAATACTTTGTTAACTCCTGAAGAATTCTACACCGAAACAAAAATAACATTAAATTATGCCTCGAACAAATACCTGAACTTAATATCTTGGTTAAGTGATATGGTCGAAAACCACGGTCAACGAATGCTGATTTTGATCAAAAATGGGACAAATAAATGGTCCTGCAGCTAGGAAATAAATAATTTTCCTTAGAGAAAAATCTGGTGCGCGTATCACACGACTTTCTCTAACCACTGTCTTAGCAGAAATAAGTATTTTCGAATAAAAGGGGAAGTGAAAGTAAAAATTATTGACGCTATATTTATTTAAAATTCATTTTGGGTATTTTTATTTGTTTAAATACCCTTATGTCTTTTTGTTTTGTTTTCGATTGGCGCAACAGATCTTGAAGAGCTTTGACCGCGAGTGTGGTCTCCTAGACCCGATTCCCGATTTAAAGTACGGGGTAGAGTCATCAATCTTAAGCCCGGTTGGTGTGAGTTGCCTCCTGTAGCCTAACGGGACTCACATACCGGGGGGAGGGGGAATCTCGGGCAGTGTAGCTTTCCTTAGTAGACGGGTCACCCAGCCAAGTGCTAGCACGCTCGGCATTGCTCAACTGTGATTACGTATTGCAAGCGCCTTACCCTTATATATATATATATATATATATATATATATATATATATATATATATATATATATATATATATATATATATTCATATTTTAATTTTTATAACAAATACTGTATTCTATATAATTAAATATTAACTAATACCAACGATAACATTTATGAAAATCACATACGTATGTTTACATAATATTGTCGAAGTCCGTATTATCTGTAGCCCATGTTACGTATGGATGCCTGTTATAATCTTTCGGGCGAGCTCGGGCAAGCTCGTATTCCTTTGATTCCTCTATTACAACTCTTATTTCTCCTTTAGTTAATTATCAAATTCATTCATATTTTATATTTAACTATTTTGATATCAAAGATTAATGTTAAATGGTTAATTATTTCAAATAAAAAAATTAAAGGTACTTCAGAGGAAGCCAATATGGAACATTAAGCCCTGTCGAGAACATCAGTGAGAATAAAACGTACATTATATTAAAACTGCTTAATAATGCACTGATATATTGAGTTTAATCAAAATCGATAGTGGTTAGAGCCGTTTTCGAGAAAATTGTAAAAATGTGTTAAATCGATGTTAAATTGAATGTTAAAATGTTAAATCGCGTATTTTGTTGAATGGGAAGCGATAACTAAAAATATTTGATTTGAGGAATCGAACATTGCTCTATAGTAAACTAGACAAAATTTGGTTTAAACGAGCTGTAGAGTTTGTCATAATTAAAACCATTTAAAGAGGATTATTGAGTGAACGAATTCAGCTGCATAAGTTTCGTTTAAAAAAAGTAATTAATTATTTGTGATTTTTTGTTATTAATTATACATGATTAAGGTATTCGGCCAGCACATTATCAATTTATATTTAGGGCTTAAACTGTACTATATTTACACCACTCTCAGAAAACAACTTTCTTGTTTAATAAACTTTAAGTTCAAAATAAATAAGTTGAGGTTTGTAAAGAAAAAATTTGAGATTCCCTCAAATTGTGTAAAGAAATGTGTAAAGAAATTTCCTATCATGTCATCTAAAAGTACCAAAACTTTAACAAAATTGACTACAGTTAACTGTTGCAAAGCTTTTATTTCTGGTGTGGGATGCACTGTAATAAAGTTAATTGGCTAAAAACACATTTTATTTATAAAAATAAATAATTAAAAAATAATGATTTTTTGATTATGATTTTCTCCCATATATCTGCCATAGGAATTGATAAATATTTATAAGTGACAAATTTAATGTTCCTAGTCCTAATATTTACGTTTTCATGAAAATAATTGAAGACATTAGTAGGTTTCTTATTTTAAACGTAAATTTTTTTGTCATAATTACACTTAAATCTATCACTGATAATTACAGACCAGCTTCAACCCGAAATTTCCTTCTCAACCCCTCGTGGATATAACAGTGCCTACAACCCCTTTTATTTAGGGGTGAAATAGCCGAGAGGGATAACGCGTGTACAAAATTCGCAACGTGATAAATCGAAGATATATGATGATAAAATAATTACGAGTTCGGGTCCTGGTGCTGGAGGGACTTTTAACTCCGGACTTTTTATTCCCTGCCCTCTCCCCTGGCCCGGGTCTATTATTTTTTGGAAATATTCGAAAGTAACTTAAAAAAAGAAATTAAAAAAAAAAAATCAACACTGATATATGCTAAATTACAAATACTAGTCCTACCAGATATTAAAGTGTCACTATTATTTTCAATGTTCTTCAGTTTCTTTTTTGAATTCTTTTTCTGTTTGATAATTATTATCTTCTCGTCCTCCCGATGTAACGGCTGTTCGACGATCTTCCCTTTCGATGCTTTCTTCAGCACTCTCGTTTTCTCATGTTTGTCCTTGTTTTTGTCATTCTGCTTTACCTTGTAGCTCTCGAGCCAGTTTATGACGCGTAAGTTTGCAGCTATCTTGCGGTTGTAAGGATTGTATGCTTGAAGATTGCCTTTGTTCTGGCTGCAGACAGGCTTCTGGGCATCAGGAGCCACCAACAGCATCCTGTATAAGTCTATTCACAATTTTATTGTTTATTATATTTTTTTCTCGAAAAAACGCGTAACATCTAGGATTTTGACATACCGAAAAAAGAGCGACATATGTTCGTATATTTACACTTTAGATTCAGTTAAATGAAAACATTTAACATGTGTAAGGGGTTATAGTGTACAATGTATAAACTAATCTGTAATTATAAAATTAATAAACATTGTAATTAAAACTTATAATACTATACCAATTAGTGAAAACGAGAAAGCCCAGGTCCTATTTATCCAATTCCACATTGTAGTTGGCCAAGATTTTCTAAACATAAATATGAGTATAAAATTTTGGTCTAAAAATATCTCAATTTCATCGTTTTGATTTTGGTTGGCTGATGGATTATTCTAATTATCGAATTTATTAATTTAATGATCGATTGTCACCGCAAGGTCTGATGTGGTATCATTATAAAAACACCGAAACATTTATTAAATAAACATCCTAGATCATCTGGTTAAGAAATCAGAATTGAAGGGAGTCATTTATTAAAATCACAACTAAGAACTTAGAATTCACCGGGCGTTGCAGCTGTGTTTTTTTAAGAAGTAAAATACTTCTAGTAAGCAATCTCTTTGCTTTGTTACCCTCATTACAAGAAATAATGACTTTCTCAAACATTCTTATTTAAGTTCGTTCACCTATATATGTAATATATAGTAAGTGTAAGTATTGCGATCGTGAAAATTTTTGAATCTGAGTTTTCAACGGAAATACACGTTCTGAAGTTCCTTGAGTCCAAATATCCAAGTCCCGAAAAATGGTCTGTGTGTATGTGAACACTTATTTATTTATTTATTCCACCCTCCCATTCCACAATGGCAATACGGGTGTTTGCGATAGTGTGTTTTAGGCATGAATACTTAATAACACACTACTACTGGATGTGCACACAGTTCTTCTGTTCTATCTTCTTCCTTCTTCTTTCGGCCTAGCTTCCAGAATCTGGAGGTCTTCCTGGCGCTTGTCCTCTTCTTCTGCGGACACCAAGTGAGCGGGCCCCACCACCGTATTCCATCCATATATGAAGTCCTTAAACCGCGGGAAATTTTCCTCGCTGACTAACTGAGGAAACTCATTTTAGTGAGGACATAGATTCCTGCGGCTCTTGTCATTGTCGCTCTTAACGTTTCAAACGCGGCGCAGTTCGTGACCACGTGCTCTACAGTTTCCGGAACACTACAGATTGGGCATAGAGGATCTACATCAATGCCCAGACCATGAAGTTTAGCTCGAAATCCTCCATGCCCCGTAAGGAACTGGGAAATCCAGTAGTCCGGGAGGACCTACTTTGCCTGAAGCCTCGACTGTACTGTGGGAAAGTACTTCCTCAATGTACTTCCTTTAGGGGTTGTTACCCACCGCCGGTCCCATGCTTCAATTGTATCCTCCCGGAGTATCTTCTTCCACCTATTAGGCGCTTCCATAGTGTATGTGAACACTCTAGCTCGAAATCTAAAAGTCATACGAAACTGTTATTACATATATAAGATAGGTATATACCTTAGATGTCCTGACAACTTTTTCCTTAAAATCGACTAACCGGAAGAGCCACTTTATATTAACGCTGAAACTCATTTTTACAATTTTCTCAAAAACTGCTCAAACGATTTTGATTTAACTCGGTGCATCATTGTATAATTAAGTGTTCTTTAATACTACTTAGATCTTATCCCTGTTGAAGTCACTTTACAGGACTTAAATGCCCAATGTTCATATGCGTCTTCCTCTAAAGTACCTTTAATATGGTTTATTTTCATTAATCAGCTATCTCTCATTATTAAAAGTTACGAAAAAATGCTAAATATAACTTTTAAAAGAATTTGACAATTGAATAAAGGAAAAAAAATAGATATGCTTATTCGGGTCAAAAATGAATCTCTGGAAATACAAGTCAGAAGGCATACTTATAATATACCATATCGTTGGAAAGCGGAGAATTTTATAAAAAAAACAATACCTAATATAGAAAGTTGTAGAAGGTAATGGAGAGTGGCGAAAAAATTACAAATAACAATTTTCGAAAACTGATAATATTTAACGTAAAACACATGTTTTCAAGGAAATTTATTAACTAAATGTAAACTTTAAAAAATATTTTTACGTTTGTAGAAAGTATTTAAAATCCACGTAATCAAGGCAAAAGCATTGTTAAAAAAACTATTTCATTGTACTTGTGTGAAAGAAGAAGTAAAATATAAAATCATTTCATGAATGTATAAAGCATATGTTCATAACCTTAAATACATTTACGGTAGTTTAGTGATTATAGATCTGATATTATATTTAAATAATTAGGTACCAACATTTATTCCGATTGGAAGAATTTGGTAATTAAATAAAGGAGAAAAAAATTAAAATACTTATCTAGGTCGAAAATGAATCTCCGGAAAACTGATCAGGAGGTATACGTATAATATACCATTGGAAATCGGAGAGTTTTAGAAAAAACAATATCTAATGTACAAAGTTGTAGAAGGTAACGAAGAGTGGCGAAAAAAATATAAATAATAACACGTTTTGAAGAAAATTAAATGAAATTTGCTTACTAAATGTAAACTGTTAAAAAATTTTAAAGTTTGAAAAAGTATTTAAAAACCCACGGATTCAAGGCAATATCATTGTTTAAGATACTATTCCTATTGTACTTGTGTGAAAGAAGAAGTGAAATATAAAAATATTTCATGGATAAGTTTATAACCTTATAAATATATTTACTGTAGTTTAATAACTCTAGATTTTTAAATAATTAGGTATCTATCGTACGCTTATTCCGAAAAATCATTATGTAAACTTTTAGAAAATTAAATTAGTGAATAATTTGATGAATTTCCCCCCCGCGATATTCCAACAGAATCCACTTACAATTAGTGTGACAACTTTTGACCTGTCTATCACAGACAATGCAAATCTCGTAATTTTGTTTTAGTAAACTTTAATGGAAAATAACAGTTTAATAACTAATAGTCGTACAATACATAATCAACCGGTGATGTAATAAAAAGGACTTTTGCTATTTTAATAGCATTTATGATTTGTTAGCTGCTATATTTTAGCTTTAGCGCAGTTAAAAATGCAATTCAATAATTTTATAATAGCCCAACATTGCCAGAAAGTAATTTCTATTCAAATTTGAGCGGTAAGTGAAAGTTGAGTATTGCACGCATTTTTTTTAAGATTGGACGAGAACTCTTAAGCCACATACACTCAGGTCTTGAGTGGAGAATCTGGCGATTGTCAGAACTCCAATATATATACTACAAAAGGTCGCGGGGTCACTGTCGTTTTAACCTAATTGGAGAACTATAGAGATTTATATTTATATAGGGATTATAGGTGCGAGGTAGGGATTGTGCAAGGGGATCTGGATGATACGTAAGATTCTAGTGAAATTTTTATTTTTTTTCTGGGATAAGGTCTAGGACAAATAGGACGTTGAGGTCATAGTGTAAGGTTTTGTTGGTTACATAAAATGGAACATCGATTATTGTTCAAAGAATTTTGGACTGAAAGGATTGGATGCGTTTGATGTTAGAAAAGTTTGCTGTCCCCCAAATTTCTATTCAAAGTTAAGCGGTAAGTGAAAGTTCTCTGTTCCGAGGACCAGATTTTTTTTTCCTATGCCAAAGTGCTTGGTCATCCCAATATCTTGCTGCCCAGTTTAAATTAGATTTTCTCATATATTGATTTATAAAAGTATTTTTCTTATGTCCGTTAAGGCAGGATATATTTCTAGGTGGTCTACATCCATTCTTATTTGATTACTTAATTTACAGCTAGGATCCTCAGCCACGCCTATCTTGTGAAGATGACTCTGCTGATAGTCGTGACCAGTGGCCACTGCATCTCTTCTCGGTAGTGTAGTAGGGTACAGTGTAGTAGGGTAGTACGCTACCATCTTTACCATTCGCCATATTGAATCATAAGGTTTTGGATTTATCGACTGAGCCAAATCTGTTCCTCGCTTGGCAAGACTATCAACTTCAACGTTTCCTGGAATCCCGTAATAGTTTGGAATCCTCTGTAGGACTACATTGGTGCCTCGGAGTGTATAGATAAGATAGAAAAAAAACTTTATTCTGGGACTAAGTCTCTTTAGAATAACAATATTGTACAAAATAATAGAATGTTACTGGCCTAAAAGTTTGAAACAAAACATAAAATTGATAAAATAAAATAAAAAATAAAGAAAACCTTAGGTGCTCAAACTATATACAATACAGATAAAACTATGTATTGAGCATTTAAAACTATGAACAAAACAATTAAAACTATGAAGGAATCACATGAACTATGAACAAAACTATATATGAGGGTTGGACAACATAAACATACACTTTGAGAAATGAAGAACGAAAAAGAGATACAATGAGTTCATTTTATAAAAAAAACTTTACTTGAGTATACATATATAAAAATAAACAGTTAATTATAATTTAATAAAAAAAAAAAAATGTATGCATTGTAATTCCTACGTCGATAGTAGGAAATGCATGTACTGTCTCTTACCAAGTATTATGATTATATGATTGCTACACAATACATATATAGTATTAATAGTTAGCTGGTATCTAACTGTTTTTGGAACAGGAATTGGACAAGGAGGTTTTTGAATGTGTATATGGAAGGGGCATGTCGAATTTTGATCGGGAGGGAAATCCAAAAGTTGACAGAGCGGGCTATAAACGAGATTTGGAATGAGGCAGATTTATGAGAAGGGATGTATAGGTCAGAAGGTCGATATCTTGTAGTGAGGGAAAGGATTGAGGACTTAAATTGGAGAAGGTTGTAGGCATAAGAAGGACGATGATCGGTAATGATTTGATAAAGGAAAGTGCCTAGGAAATATGGTCTTCTTAAGGAAGAGAAGAGCCACCCTAACTCAGTGTAGTGGTGGAAGACACGGGAGCGTCTCGGGGTCCCAATTACAAATCTTACAAAGCTATTCATAAGTCTTTTGAGTCTATCACGGAGTTCCACTGAGAGGCCATCGTACACCACACAACTGTAGTCAAAGTGGGGAAAAATGAGAGAGGAAACTAGGAGTCTACGGGTATTTTGGGGTAGAAGATGGCGGAAGGAATGGAATAATTTGAGGGTAGAAATTGCACGGCGGGAGATATGAGAGACATGGTGATTCCAGGAGAGGGTTTGATCTATGAGAAAGCCTAAATTTTTAACAAAGGGATAGAAGGTGATGGGGTGGTTGTTTATATAGAGTGAGGGAAAGTTGGTGTGGGATCTAAGAAGGGGTTTGGAACCAATGAGAATGGCCTGAGCTTTGGCAGCATTTAATCCTATATACTTATAGAGGAGGGATTTGCATTCCAAGATAGCACTCGATGGACATTCGTTCGTGTTAGTAACAACGAGGATGGCTGCTTGAGTATCAACGAAAAGAACAGCTCTCTCAACTTGCCTTTGATAGTGTTCTTAGGGCTATGAG